AGATGCTGCTGTTGCTGATGATACGATTAATTAGAAAGACATCTTATACACGTGATTTACTGACAGTCACGAAACCTTGCTTATAAATGATAAATAATTAATGCAATCAATTGTCACAGCGAATATCACTTTATTTTTCCAATTAAGTATTGTTTTCGTGACCACCAGTAAATCAGTAGTATGAGGTGTATTCACCCTAACTCATATCAATGTGGGAAAATTCTTCTCCTACCAGTTCTTCATCACGCTAAACGTTGGCTTTAATTAAAGTCAGAATTTCTGCACTCATGCTCAAGAGCCTTATCACCATTATATTATATTATATTATATTATATTATATTATATTATATTATATTATATTATATTATATTATATTATATTATATATATATATATATATAAAGAAATTAATAGTTGGATATATACATAAATGGATAAAGATAATGCAAGGTATTATGTAAATTATTTTGTAAATGCCACTAATTGTAATGCTAATGACATGGCAGAATCTGCCGATTACATTCGCATTGAGTAGGAATTTAGTGACAATCGGTAGATCTTGAATAAGAGCTTTAGTCAGCCAAAGTCACAATTGAGTTGACGGTGAAATGGGGGTGAATGTCGCGACAATCGGAAGACATGGCTCGAGAACAGCGTTGAAGCTGACTCAGCAAAAGGTGTCCTCGTCCCGGTTGGGCTGGACTGTAGCTTCGCCCTCGACCGGGTCCTATTGGCACCGTCGGCGACAATTGGGTCCGGCTGGTACAGATCGAGCCTGCAATCCGTCCTATCCAGGCCAGTCGGGATGGGAAGACTGTTTGGGAGGAGGGCTTCCTGAAAGTTGAGAAGATCGTGACAGACACTTTTTAGAATGCGGCAAATCTCATCCCGTCAGTGGCATTGACTCACCAAGACTCGATGTTGTCAGAAGAGTGCGTTCCAGTTCTGAGGCTGACCTCCACTTGCCTGACGGATGGATGAGATGTAAGTCAAGATTTGTGTTCGTTGCACCCTTATGCTTGAAACCAACTCCATGTCGACAGTGGGGTAGCGAGAGAGAGATAGATTGAGAGAGAGAGAGAGAGAGAGAGGGAAGGATCCCTTCACTTTTGTTCTCAGTCAGGCTTGCCAGAGTCTAGGAGGCATTGCCGACAAGAGATGATTTTTACGAAATGGCAAAGTTGGCAGAAATTTTATCTCTTTTTTTCGGAATTTCAGGAGTTGTTCATTTGGTCTCTGCTTCATCAGTTCACCGACATGGCCATGCACTTCTGGGAGGCCTGTGAAGACGCCATCGTCATGGCGATCATCTCCTGTCGTATCAATCAGCAGATAGTTTGCCTCCTGCCGCTGCATGATTCCAAACGACGGACGACGCTGCAAAAGTTGGCCGAGGACTACGAACGACTGGCCCTCAATCTGCTCGACTTGTGCCAAGAAGAGGACTCGGTGAGTAGAAGAAGAGTGTGGAAAAAGTAGGAAGAGTGGGAAGACTTTGAGGTGTGATAAGAGTGGGAAGAGTGAGAAGAGTGAAGAGAGTGGGAAGAATGGAATAATTGGGAAGAGTGTGAGGAATGAAAAGCGTTTGAAGAGATGAACGAGTGATAAGAATGTGAAAGAGCGGAAAGAGTTTTAAGAATAAGAAGAATGAATAGAGTGGAAAGAATGGAATAAGTGGAAAGAGTGGATACACTTTAAGGTGTGATAAGAGTGGAAAAAGTGAGAAGAGTGAAGAGAGTGGGAAGAATGGAATAAGTGAGAAGAGTGAGAAGATGTTTGAGTTCTTGTCAGATTAAGAAGAGTGAGAAGAATGAAAAGCGTGAGAAGAGATGAAGGTTTGAAAAGAATGGAAAGAGAAGAAAGAGTTTTAAGAGTAAGAAGAATGAAAAGAGTGGGAAGAATGGAATAAGTGGGAAAAGTGGAGAGACTTTAAGGTGTGATAAGAGTGGAAACACTGAGAAGAGTGAAGAGAGTGGGAAGAATGGAATAAGTGGGAAAAGTGAGAAGAATGCGAAGCGTGAGAAGAGATGAACGAGTGAGAAGAATGTGAAAGAGCGGGAAGAGTTTTAAGAGTAAGAAGAATAAAGAAAGTGGGACGTATGGAATAAGTGGGAAGAGTGGGAATAGTGGGAATAGCGAGAATAATGGGTAAAGTTGTAACGATGTGGAAGGTAGATACATTTTGTGGATGGCATCGGCTGGAAGAGAGGAGGAACTCTCGGCCCGGGTTCAGACGTGTAATCCGGACCGGAACACATTGCCGGTATAGCCAACCAGCCGCCGAATTAACAGCACAGACGCGCACCGAAGCGTGTCCGTTTCGTCACGGTTGAACGAGCAAACACTTCTCGTCTGCCTCGATGTGGAGCATATTGAGGCACTCTTTGCCGAGGCTGTCATTGGAAACGCCAATTGCCCGGCGCCAACCACTGACTGGCGTAGGCCAGTCCGAAAGCAGCGGACCGTGACCGAGAAGAGGTCAAAGGTCAAAGCCACAGATCGGCAGCGAGTAGTTGACTCTTTTCTCTTTCGCTTCAGGAGACCACTGCCTTCTTGATTGAACACAAACTGCCCGTCCTCGGCGGCTTCAACTGCATCGAGCTGGCGTTCGCCGCCAACGCGACACAATTCCTCAGCTCGCTGGCCTGCCAGAACTCGATGGAGCTGACCTGGAACAACGGCATCCACACCAGATCGGGTTGGTCCATTTTGGCGCTCTTCTGTCCCTTCCTGCTGCTCTTCGGCGATCTGTTCACCTTCAAGCAGCAAATTGCCTCCGGTGAGCTCGCTTTTGCGCTACTGAATTTAATCCAATTTTAACACACTACTCACTATCCTAATGAGTAGGCCATCGCAATTTGGCATTCGCCTCGCATATTCCTCGATTGTCCACAGCACGGATAGCGCAAAAAAGTCATTTTAATGCTTAATCCTCTCCCATTTCCACCAACTGGCCACTCTTGTCAGTTGTTTCATCCGGCCTGAAGCGGAATCATTCAGCTTTCACCATTGCCCTCATGCGGAAATGGTATCACAAAAGCAGAGCACTCCAAATCGCTGTTATGCTTCCCAACCGATTTGACCCGCCCTAAAGCCCATCTTTGCTTGTTTTAATTGTCTGCTCCATCTTGTCTTTGAGCGAAGCTTGTTTTTGCCCCAAATCCGTGCTCGCTCAGGTCATCCGGCCTCGAACAAGGTACCAACTGAACTGATGGATGCGCCCAATTTGCCCAACCTGCGGCTGCTGTACGCCTGCGACGCCGCCTCGAGCATATCCTCAGGCTCGGGACAATTCTACGCCGAACCGCGTCAGGACAGGTCCTTTGTGCAGTCGCCAAGTGACGCTGCGTCGCCGATGGCGCTGAGTGCCAAGATGAAGCAGTTCTACAGTGCGCCCAAGTCCAAATTCTACATTCACTCGGTAAGCCGAAAGCGCCAGTCTTGCTGCTACCGGCAGTCGCGGTGTTGTCAGAACTGTCGCCAACTCTCAGATTAAGCAAGTTGACTTTTTAAGTGAACTCCAGTCTGACGCACCAACCTTAGAAACATCATCAATTCTGGAAAATACAAATCCAGCTCTGAAGATTGGCTTAACTTCCGATTAGGAGAGCTGATGAAGTTTAGACGAGTTCGAAGCTCTGATTGCCGCAAAAACGGTGCAATAATATGATTTAAACCGAAATAATATACAGCCCAATGCATACTTTATTCAATGCCATTTTACATGATTGAGCATATAAAAAATCTTCATCCAGATTTGAAAATTGCATTTCAGTAAACAAACCCTTTAGCAATTTGATCATTATATGATGTTGTATTAAATTAATCGTGTATTTGTCTAAAAATA